CGAACCAATTTGAAATATTCTCGCTTTAATGAAATAAATTTAAAATAATTTTAATATTGTATTATTGTTCATTATCAAGAAAATTGAGGTGTTAATTATCTAACTGTAATACACATAATCAAATAGTTGGATAGTCTAATTCAAAATCCTTACTATGAACTTGAAAACGTGAATACGTGAATAAAGTGATAATATATCATTGTAGTAACTTAAAACTCTTTAATTATGATACGATAATTAACTGCTTTATAATTGCATTAAAAAAAAGAGAGATCTCACATATTAATTAGTCTTAATACGAATCTAGCTTTATTAAAGAAAATGGAAAGGATTCTTTACACCTTAAAGCGAATTATTCATTCAATGCATTGCTTTCTTAATTTTGCTATCACCAATGCAATATGTTCAGTTCCCTCCATAATCTATTTTGTCCTTGTAATGCTTACAACCAGGTTTAAATTCGAATAACGTGTATAATTCATGATATAACAAATATACAGTAGAAAAATAATAAATATACTCAGTTCGAAGTGTAGAAATATAATAATACTAACAACTCAACTCAACTATACTGATATATTTAAGCTATTACTATAATGCATGTGAAATAAACAGGGCCATAATAAAATAAGAAAAAGGTAAATAGGAATAAAATTTTGAGGTGAATCATTATTTCATGCTACATTTCTACATGCGAAGTAGCAAAAACTAGATTTAGAAAATGAATATCAGATATAACAATGTTTTACAAAAAAATAAAGCGCTTAACCTGTTAATATTTCTTCTTTACTATATTATCACTATCGACATACATTCCATGCCCTACCAATTCTAGGTTTACCTTGTCTTCATAAGTCCTTAGTTTACTAAAATCAACCTTTTCAATGGGTTTAAGCTTTATCTTCCACATTGTGTAAGGGCTAAGCATTATGTTGCCCTGATTAATTTTTGTAAATGCAGTGTTTTTTCTAACTGGGCCTCCATTATTTGATTTAAAACTATAACATATAGTAACTTGTTGATCACTTCTTATTACATGAAACTCATCACCATATCTATAATATGAGTTGCCTAAATGAGTCATCGTAACATCAAAGCCTTTAATCATACTATCAATTTCATTTTGCATTGCTTCATCTATCGATTTGAATCTGATGTTTATTTTATTGAACTTAATTGCACTTTTATTGCGATCGCTTTCTTCTACATCTGCTTTTATAGTTATTTCTTCTCCTTTTAACAACTCAGATATTTCTTGGTGATATTTTTTATTTTCCCATACAAAAAATGGTCGTGAAAAGTCATCTTCACCATTAAATTCTCCATCCATCAAAAATTGGTCTTTCTTATTAATAGTTGCATTATATTTTTTAATATCTAATTTCAAATCTGCTATTTGTTGAATAATGCTAGCAATAGTTTCATCGTTATTATTTAACGGTAAACTTAATAAATTTGAATTTGAATATAAGTGTGCAAATGGAAACGCCCATTGCCTGAATGCACTTATAGCTTTTTT